AATTATAAAATCATTCTTATTAATGTGGGTGTACATCGTCGTTTTTACGAGTTTCGCCGTTTATATTACGTTATCATTTATCTTCCTTCGTAAACCGCATTTTCTTCATAAACGACGTCGACCTGCATTCATCGCTCGAAATATAGCTCATCGAGGGGGTAAAATAATGAAAATTCTACATTGTTGATGTATTTGCTTTTGTTTTCTAAGGTGCCGCAGAATCTATTGAAAATACTTTACTTGCATTTGACACGTATGATTCATGAGAACATATTTTATATCAATTTTTTTACTCTAGAGGACTAACAAATGGAGTAGAAATGCTTGAATTAGATTGTCATTTAACCAAAGATAATCAAGTTGTTGTGCATCATGATTTTTCACTTGACAGAACGACGGGTGAAGAGATATTTATCAGAGATATTGAATATCATGTAAGTTAATATCAATGGGCACAAATGAGAAAAAATGTTGTTTTCTAGAATTTACCTAGAATTAGTACTAATGTAGATCTTTATTATGATGCAAGTAAGAAATTTAAATATATTTATCGAAGAGATTAATGATTTTATTGATAGGTACAGTTATATCATGTGATAATAATCCAACAAATGAAGAATTATTGCGTATACCATTGTTAAAAGATGTTTTTGAACGTTATCCAGCAATACCAATTAATATTGATGTTAAAGAACATAACGATGAACTTATTCGTCAAGTATTTAGCATTTTGTTATGAATAGATAAAGTTTTTGTAAAAAAATGATTGATCATTTGACATACATTATATCTAGTCATGAATTGTTGTTGGCCTTTCGTATTGTCATTTCAACAAATGGAAAATAACTCGAGTAGAACTTTTTATTTTGATTCACTATATGTCCAATGTATTCATTCTAATTTGAAAGTGATTTGCACTATTGAGTCCATAGTTATATGAAACATGATTTGAAACTAAAGTACTAGTGATTAATACCTATTACTGTTTTCTGTTTAGATAGCATTGTGGAAACTGTAAAATAAACGAAAAGTTTTTCTCTAACAAAGAATAGAGTCTGTTCTACTCAATGTTTTATAAATTGAACGTATTGAGAGGCGAATATTCTCTCAGAGATCTAGTTCAAAGTCATGAACTGCTCCACAAGACAATACCTACATTCATTGTCGTCAGTTATTTCTTTCGTACAGGTCTGAGCTGATTTTTTTGATTGTTCGATGAACTGAATAGAACATGTTAAAATGAACACTCCCTAATTTAATAATGATCTCGAAAGTCAATCCTAGATAGAAAAAAATATTAATTGTAAAGTAGCCATATGAATATATTGGCTGACATGTTTAGAGTATGAAATCAGGGAAATAGCTGTCATGACTCGTCAAACTCATTTAAAACTCTCAAAAACAAATAATAGTTTGCATTTCATCAAAGTTCTCTCTAAAGAGAACCAAAAAATGTCAAGAGGAGCATAAAAACATACGAATAATTCAATATATAACATATCGACGTTTCTGATCGATTCAACTTTTGTTTTGTAAAATTCTGCGAATTCCTAAATCACTGAGTAGAAGCCGAAAGAAAAGATTTTAATGATGGCTATGGTAGGTCTACAAACAATAAAATAAATAATCTAAAAACTGAATGGATACAAGTATTCTAAAAGGAATTCAACGATATTCAAAAAACCCTGAGTTTGAATCGAAACTTCACCGAACCTTAAGATGCTCCTGTTGCCATTCTATATACTTCCAGAAACGCTTCGACAGTCACGTAAATATTCGACACAGCAGGAATCAGTTGAATAGCTCCTGAATGCTGAACCAAAGTTCAAGTTCGGTGTATGCCTAGTTATTTTTGAATCTATCGAAAATTAAATGCAGAAAAAAAAATTTTTTTTCTTCATGTGTAGCAATAGACTACAAGCGACTTAGAATGTATTGAGAAATCATGACTTTTCTTGATTATTGATTATAAAAAATGCTTGAAAAGTTTTATTTCGTAATGTTAAACAGTTCATCAATATATAATATTATGCTAGAAAAAAATGACGTTTTTTAGATTTCGAAGCTTATTCAAGAATATCAACGAGAACATTTGACTTATTGGGGTAGTTTTAATCATGTTGTATGCCAAAAATTGACTGCTGAAGTACGACTTCAATCTAACTATATTAAAATATTGACTATTTATATCTCTTAGAATTCACGTATAGTTCGTTTTTGTTCATTAAAAGAAGCAATAGGTATTGTCATTGCTTATTGGCTTGGTTTATTACCGTTTATACCATTAAAACCGGGTAAATCAAATAAGACTGTTTTCAATATAGTTTCTCTTTTATTTTTGGTTCTATATAGGTGTCTTTGAAGTACCTATTCCTGGTGAAGTTTTCCAGTATGATCGAACATTCACTTAGTTATATATATATTTTTTTCTTATATTTAGAAAAATAACAAGAAATTTTAATTGGAAATTTAAAATGGTATTTTATCTCGCAGAACGGTAATTGTTCTATTCAAATAATTTTAATTCGATTTTAATATATTTAGTGCATTAAATAATAAATCTATGTTTGTGCATTTACAACGACGTGGTATTCCGGTAAGCTTCTATCTTTAATTAAAATCTATTATGAATTTTGTTTTACTTGTAGGTGTACGTTTGGACATTAAATAATGAACAAGAATTTGAATATGCTATTCAAAAAATGTCTGTTACCGGTATAATGACTGATTATCCCAGTCGACTTCAAAATTATTTAGCGTCTAATGAACATGAATTTATTTTAAATTAAGTGATAAATAAATATTTATTTTGTCCATTTTTCATAGTATCTCTTTTTATGTTAAAATGAAAACATATTTTTTTTATTAACTAATTTATTTTTTAACAGATGAACAATAATAAAATACATATTGTTTCTACGGAAAACTTTCATCTTTAGTTTTAATAAAACGTTTTTCGTATGATTTACGCCATCTTGTAGACAAATAAAAAAGATAAAGTGGTGATAGAAGAGAGTTAGATCGAAACTTGCGTGTCGAACTTTGTATTGGTATAGACAAAAGTATAAATAATTCTGAGTTTCTGTGAGCCTATATAAACTGTAAACTATCATTACATTTGTTACATACACACCTGTGTCGCACATATCTGGATATTTAGCACAAAGATCATTCAGAAATGTCATAGTTAGGCTTTTTTGACCATTCTGAAGTACAAGTTGTGATGCTCTAATCCTTACCGATTATCTTAGTAATATTTTTGAGACTTTCTTTTTGAAAGAAATAGTTACACGAAGAGTTCTCTTCTAAGGTTATATATATATATATATATACATGGACGATTGATTCATATTTTGTTAGTGTGACTCCTACCTAAATGAAAACCTAAAACAACATAAATATACAAAGTTACTACATTCGTAAAGAAAGATAATATAGGTTATAATATGCTATAGCAAGTATGATAAGACTGTGAAAGGTGGCCATAATTTATACTTCAAACTTATAGACAGAAGAAATTGGAGCGAGAGTATAAACGAACATGGTAGGCATAGAATTTAATAGTTTTTCATAGATATTCCCTAGTAGACTACGGTTTCTTGGCTAGGTTTTCATGACCGATAGATCCAAAATTTTTGGTCTTACATTTTAACGGTACTTTTTAATTGTTTCTCACAAAAAGCAACTCTTTTAAATGAATTATAATTAGAAAAGAAAACTGTATTTATCAAATTAAAAACAAACTCGAAGACAGAATACACCATATTTTGTGAATTCTATAAAGAGTCTAAGTTCGGTTCATTTCAAATTATTTTCGATTACTGTTTCATATACAGTTTATCATAAGTCGTAACCCACACACATATTATAATTCAAATCTGTGTTAAGTTTAGTTTTCTTCTACGACAAAAGATTTTACCTTAACCAAGGTAACACTTGAAGCTCATTTAAAACTTTTGAAATACAATCGAATATAACAAATAATCTATTTCATATGATTGAAATATGATGTCGGTTTCGACTAGGCTGAGGTTTCATACGAAAGCTGCCGACTATACGCTGTTTCTCTATTTCTAATCCTGTAGTTTTCGTACAATTTTAAATAAGTATGAGCAAGATCTTTTATCTTCGTTGTTAGATCTTGTTTTATTGTCTAGGAACAAATGGTAGCTAATAAAATAGATGCGTTAGTCACGAGCTGGAATACCATGAGTAAGTAGAAAAAGTGAGTTAGGCTTTGTAGAATAAAAATGTTTTGTTCCGAAAATTTGTTACATTAACTCAAAGCATTATTCAACAGTGCTGCTGAAAAATTCGTGCTCGCTGTGAAATTGGAAAACAGTTAGTTGAAGAATTACACATAGCTGTTGAAGCTAATGATAATGCAACAACAGAACAATTATTAGGAAATTTATGTGAAGGTCTTCGTCATGCTAGAGAAGATCGTGAGCGATTTCTAGATAAATTCGATATAGTTCTTCAATGGGCTAAAGAATCAGGCAAATCGGTAGAACAATTAATCGATAATCTTCTCGCACAAGATGGTGTTCATTAGAAATATACATCCTAAAATCGATCGTATAATGCTTAATATCTTGAATTGCATATAATATAATAATAAATAAAAGAAAATAAAATTAAACTTAAATTACAAATCTTGTCATAATATGTAGTTCCTAAACGAGAACTAAATATAGTTTGCTTCATCTGTATGAGATCATCCTTTCATTGTTAATGGATGAAAAACATTTAGATTCAAAGTCTGATGCAAGTATCATTTGATATATGAAGAAAGAAGAGGAGTTAAAGTCAAATTGTGTTTCATTAACTTCCGTTTCACGTACATCATGAAATGCTATAATCAATATTTTCTTTTCATCACAGAACAGAGTGTCTCAAAAATGAAAAGACATACTTCTAAACTCTTCTCGTGTACATATTGGATATTTTCTATTTCTATTAAATACAATACCATGTGGATACCTATGGAACAACGTAACCACTCAACCATGGCGGCTTCTTGCTTCATATGATCTCGACTTCTATCCATTTCATGTAAAAGACAAGAACAACGATTCCACCTTTTCATATTTCAAAACGAAAGCTTTCTTATGTCGGACACTTCTAGGTAGTCTTTTCATGATTAAAAATATTTCTCTATTGCGTGTTGAATTCGATGAATATTATGACAAAATGATAATTTTGCACTTTCAATGATTTTATATTGTCAATAGGTTTGTATCAGATCAATTATAACTCATTTATCCAATCATTATTTTCATTGGTTAATTTTTCTTTAGAAGGTAAATTACAGACAAGAAAAGATGCTTGACGATATTGTTTAGATAAAATTAATTTTTGAAATGATAACTTCAGTCACAGTAACATATCTAACAAATCAATTTTTTTCTAATAGATTTATTATTTGGATTTCAAAATCATTAATTTAAGAACAATGAGTAAGATATTCACTATATTCTTTGGTTTTTCTTGTATATAAAAATTATTTAGCTGATTTACAACAATTAAAAAATATAAAACTTGATTATGAAGATAATATCGCTATTGTTCAACTCAATCAAGAAAATTCTAAAGTAAAATTCTATTTAAAAAAAAATAAGATTAATAATTTCAATAATTAATTAAGGTTAATATATTATCACGAAAAATGATGAATGAATTCGTTCCAGTATTTAATCATTTAAAAAATGATGATAATATTAAAGGAATTATTGTTATATCAGCTAAACCTGGTTCATTTATTGCCGGAGCTGATATTAAGTTAGAAAGAATAATTTTTTCATTCAATTTTAATATTCGTTTATTTGTTCAGTATGTTTGAATCTGTTAAATCTCGTGATGAACTTTATCAAATGTCACGTAATGGTCAAGAAATAATGAATCAAATTGAACAATCATCAAAACCAATTATTGCAGCTATTGCTGGATCATGTCTTGGTGGTGGATTTGAAGTTAGGTTTTATTTTTCTTTTCGTTATTTTTTTTTTAAAATTTATTATTAGTTTTTTGCTATTAGGTTGCTTTAGCATGTCATTATCGCATTGCAATGAATGATAAACGAACTGGATTTGGTGTACCAGAAGTTAAATTAGGTTTATTACCTGGTGCTGGTGGTACACAAAGACTGTTAAAAAATCTTTCATTATCTGATGCATTGGATCTTATATTAGCGGGTAAAGAAATTAAAGCAAAAAAAGCCAAAGCAATGGGTTTAGTTGATATTCTTGTTGAACCAATTCGATCTGATGTTCAAGATATTGAAGAACAAAATATTGAATATTTACGTTCAATTGCTATACGAAAAGTCAAGTATGTGTTCAATCATTAAAAAGAAAAGTTTGATGAAATAGAAGTTCTATATGAGTATTGCATCAAAATCGATATTTTAGTTTGTATGATTCTACCACAGATATCTACGGGTAAATTTTACAAGATTCGACTCGTGCATAACTGAACCCGATCAGAGATTAAACATATTTTCTAGTGAACCCTAGGGATTTTCTGAAAATTTGAAAAAAATGAAATTATTATCTAATGTAGAATTGCTCTTTGAATAATGTGAGACTCGACATCGGTAAACTTATTGTGACTTCGTCCGGATTGGATTCTATTAGATATGAAAGGTAGAAACTCCCTGAATACGCATAATTTTACAAGAAGTTGAAATCTTTTCTCATTTCAAACATGAATATTCTCGATTATAGTGAGATTTTTATTGTTGGATTCTTTCTATTTACTCTTTCGATTTTGTTTTCTAGAGAGATTGTTGTACAAAAACCTACTAAGCGAAAATTCGGACTAATGGAAAGTAGGAGACTTTGTATCTCTTATTATTAGTTATTAACTATTCACGATAGATATAAAATCAATAATAATGTTAAATTCTTATGTACGAAATTATATTTTATCTCAAGCTCAAGCAAAAGTTATGTCACAAACACAAGGTCTTTATCCAGCACCATTGAAAATTTTAGATGTTTGTATATCAATCTATATATTAAGAAATAAAAAAGAAGTACATAAAAACATTTTTATTATTAGGTTATCCAACAAACTTTAGAAAATGGTTCAAAAGTTGGATTAAATGCTGAAGCAGAAGTAAGCTCTGAAATTTTATTTTTTCTAAAACGAAAGAATAAATGAATTGATCAACTTTAGGCTTTTGCAGATCTTGCTATAACTAATGAAGCAAAAGCATTAATTAGTCTATTTCATGGACGTACTGAATGTAAAAAAAATAAATATGGAAAACCCGAAAGAGAAATCAAGTAAGTTGTCATACAATCATCGGAGAGTTGTGTTTGTCATATTAATGAAAAAAATTCAAAGTGTATTATTCTAATAATTTTGAGTGGTACTATTTTTTCTTATAATAGAACTATTGCTATCATTGGTGCTGGTGCAATTGGTGCTGGTATTGCACATGTATCTATTGATAAAGATTTTCAAGTCATACTTTATGATACTACATCAAGTGCACTTTATCATGGTCAATCACAAATAATTAAGAGTTATCAAAATTATATTAAACGAAATCGAATAACAAGGTAAAAAGAAAGAAATATTATGATTCTCATTTGATTATGATATAATATTATTCTAATCTAGTACTGAATATAGTCGAATATTATCGAATTTAAATTGTCAAACAACATTTGATAATTTAGAAAAATGTGATATTATAATAGAAAGTGTATTTGAAGATCTTAAATTAAAACAAAATATTCTTAATGAACTTGAACAATACATTCCAGAACATTGTATATTTGCGTCTAATACATATATACTATCTATTCATCAAATAGCTGCAAATAGTCGACGTCCACATAAAGTAAATCATCTTTAAAATAAAATTAGAAAAAAAAAGATTATTTTTTTAAATAAATAATAGGTTATTGGTATGCATTATTTTTCTCCAGTTGATAAAGTTGAATTATTAGAAATTATTCGAGCTAAACAAACATCTGATAATACGATTTGTACAGCAGTTAGTGTTGGTCTTAAACAAGGAAAAATTATTATTATAGTTAATGATAGTCCAGGATTTTATACAACACGTTTATTAATATTTTCTTTTATTGAATTATTTTATCTTTTACAAGAAGGTTTATTACCGAATGATATTGATAAAGCAACAAAAAAATTTGGTTTTCATATTGGTTTAGCAATATTATTAGACAGTGGCGTAGCCAGCAGGGTAGCAATTGGGCAATTGCCACCTAAATCAAATTCTATTGCCACCTAATTTTTTTTAATTGCGCGCAATTGCCCATTGTCAAAAAATGTTAATACCTGTGTATGCTTAAAGATTCAAGGAGTGTTTTCTTTCAATACATTTTCTCTTGATGAGATCTAATCAAGTGATTTACAAAAATCAATCTACGATCGTTTGCATTCAAAGAATGATCAAAGTAATAATGATTTAATAGTATTTTCTGTCAAAATACGCTCTAATATACTTAAATGAGCTAAAGAGAAACTTGAATGAATACTCAACGATCTCTCTACGAACATAAATCGTATTGTACAGAAACGACTGAAGCAATCTAAATTAAAAGCTTCCACAATGTATGTTGTAACATGATTCTTGCACTCTTAGAGTTGAAAACGTGAATAAACTACATAGAAAATCTAAATAAAAATCGACTGAGTATCTAAACGACAGTGTTTTGAAAACTCATCTCAGGCATTGAAAGTACTAGAAATGAAATGATAATATGTAATTTACAGAATGCACATATGACTGAACATTGAAACCATGCAAAAAAGCTTTCATGATTGAGAATTTGTTAGAGATATATGTGGAGTAATGCTTGTCATTGTCCGACGTAATAGGACAAACTAACTCATGCAGTTGTCCGATTAAAGAAGATAAACGAACCTTCATTGCCTGACGAAAGAAAATAATGAGGCATTGATCAATGTTTCACGAAAAAAGATAGACTGACAGTCATTGTGTCTCTACCACATATTCAGAAAAGAGATTGATTTTCTTGTTCTATTGATACTTATTTATGACTTTTTGACATAAAATATTAAAATATATGAAATCAAACAGTACGTTTCTGAAATAGTGTTTAAAAAAAGCGAGCAAATTTATCTGTTAATCCAGTATGACTAATTTCTCTTCAGTAAACAACAAATTCTGTAATGCGGACAAGTATTTAAAAAACTATTGCCCACTAGGTTTTACAATTGCCCATTGCTGCCACCTATTCAAAATAATTTAGCTGGTAAATTGCTACCTATGTAAAAAATCCTGGCTACGCCACTGTTATTAGATGATTTTGGTATTGATATGATTACATATATAGTATGTCATCTAAAGAATATATTTGGTGAACGTCTTGCTAATTCATCTGTAATAGAATTACTTCAAATATTCGTTAAAAATAATTTACTTGGAAAAAAATCTGGACAAGGTTTATATATTTATTCTAATGATGGTAATAAGAAGATTAATCCAAAATGTAAAGAACTACTTAGAAATTCTTTGACACAAACTAAAGACATGTAAATACAGAATATTTGATACGTTTTCTTTTGATATAATTAAATATTTAGATCAAAAATAGAAACTATTCAATGGCGTATAAGTCTTCGAATTTTAAATGAAGCTGCAAGATGTTTGGAAGAAAATGTTATTAGTTCTTCAGTATGTATTGAAAATGTGTTGGAATGAATTTTGTTTTGTAGATGAGAAGAAATTAGTTATAAAGTCTGTGATCATAAATAAGACTTGCTATGTAGATGATTATTTATCAGAGAGAGTTTTAATACGATCAAATTATTATAGAAATCTTAATTATTACAAGAAAAGTTATGTTTGAATAAAGTAGTTAAAAAGACTGTTCTGTTTGAATTATCCGATGTTCGCTTGTCGAGTTATGAATGTTTTATTTGATTTTTCTGCTCTATGAGCACAGGATCACTGAGAATCTGAATGATCGTATTTCCAGCTGAAATTTTGTCCACAATTAAGCTTTATAGTCACTAGAAATATGCTAAATTTTGAGCTAGGACAAATATACCTACAGCGAGATATTAACTTCTCATAGAAACGTTCTTCGTTTGAAACACAGACCAAAACAGATGTTTCTTTAAAATGTAAATATCTAAACAAGGATACATTCGTTCTGATTCAAAATTTAGTGTATTTCTAATGACGGTGGAGTCTATCTGTGGACAAAATTTTAGCTCAAAATTCAATCGTCCAGATTTTCAACGATTCTATACTCATAGAGCAAAACGCCTATAATTCAGCAAGCGAAGACCAAAATATTGAATATTTGATCAACAGAAGATCCTTTAGAATATATAAAAATCGAAGATTTAGTGACAATGAAGTCCTATCATACGAAAGAGTTTTCTTTATTCACTTATTTGAATTGTTACAGTATTGATTGAAAATGTTCGAGACAGAAAAAAAACGAAAAAATCATGTTTTTTATTTAAATTGATTATACACTACTCTATTCGCAATTTGATTGGAATTCTTAAATTGAAATAAGCGAGGCCATGAATGAACTCTTGTAGAAATCTAAATTTCTTCATGGAAAATGTACAAAGAGAGAAGAAATACTGAAACTTTTGAATTGATCAAGAAAGATTTCTTTCCTCATGTAAAATCTCAGAACTTTGATCCGTTGTCTTTAAATTTGTCTTTTAATGTAAAAAGAAAAGAACATAATCGTAATGGCCATTTGATAACAGCGAATTATGAACTTTGATAAGGGAAAGTGACTACACTTTATACTTACACTTATTTCGTCTTGAATGTATCCGAATAGCTATACAAAAATCCAGTAGATCAATAACGTGATGGCTAATAGAAATATGATTCAAAAAGGAATGTTTTTTTTAATCTCATTCTTTCTCTCAATTGAAAGCTGTTTAATTTGTAGAAATTCATAGTATAACTTTTAAACAAATCTCATATGTCTTTTTAGACAGATGGTGATATTGGTGCTGTGTTCGGTTTTGGCTTTCCTCCAATGAAAGGAGGTAAATATAATATCTTTTCTTTTTCTATTATTTTTCTATTCTTATATATTATCGGTTTAGGTCCGTTTCGTTTTATGGATACCTATGGTACTTCTAATATAGTTGATTTAATGAATAATTATCAATTAGAATATGGTGATCGTTTTGCTCCAACACAATTATTAATAGATATGGCCAAAGAGAACAAAAAATTTTATCCTTAATTTTTTTCTCCAAACAGAATAAAAAAATATAGAAATAAAAGTTTTTTAATTTTTGAATTAATTGCTCTTTTATCTATGCTACATGCATAAACAAGAAGATTTACCAATTCAATTGATTATTTTTCATCTGATCTATTTATTGTTTGAAGCATTGTTTTTTTGAAATCTGTTCTTTTGTCGTTATTTTGATATAATCCATGCAAATATGTTCTAAAATATAAATGTCACCGTAAAAAAATTCAAGATATATATACATATCTAATTGTGTATAGATTGATTATTTACAACTCTTTTTTTTTGCTATTTGCATACCACACAAAAATTGATCTTATAAATATATATCAACATGTAATGTGGATGAATGTGTATCGATCAATTAAGTAGCATATGTAAACAAAACAAATAATGTTGATGTAATAAAAACTACTGTTAATATTAAATTTGTTAAATAAAATTGACTTTCACATGCGATGGATGCATTAAATTTTATTGACAGGATATTATTGAGAACATAAATAAGCTGTATATTCTTGATAAGTAGTATAATCTATTGATAAGTTTTGATTTAAATCCAACCCATTGTTTATGCATATTGTTTGTTAGGGTAAATAAACATATTTTTATTTACCAATTGATATTATATTATATATTGGATGTAAACTTGTGATTATAATTTGCATGAAATAAGAAAATCAAATTTAATTTGAAGAAGTTTGCTGAGAGAGAAGAACTTTTTTTCATAGATTTGAATTTAAGTGAAGAGTAGTATACGAAAACTCTTAATATTGTCTCATTTGATGATACATTATATACGATGTTGAAAGGAAGTTCATTGAAAATACCTCTTAGATGAGAAACACATCCTTTTCCTTAACTATCTTGAATTTTTACGTAACTTTCAGTTCAAAAGCGAGTGTTGAGGGTCGTTCAAAGATTTATTTTCTCAGTAGTTTGTCCTATTTTATATCATCAAATTTGTTGTTGCATATGACGAAAGAGCCTAATAATAATAAAGGTAAAGTTAAAAATAATCATAAGAAAATACGAGGTCTCACAAATCAATAATATTTTGCAAGACTTAAACTAATGCGAACTTTATTTTCTCATTGATAACAATGCAAGACAAAGGTAGAATGACAAAAGGAAAGGAACCGGATGTATGGTTGACAATTTTACTCGTGAGTAACAAAGAAAATTTCTAATAAGATAATATATTTCACCTGTTTATATTACTCTGAATAATAGATACAATTGAACTTTGTTCAGAAGTCATCTAAAAGATGGTAAACTATACGATGACTTCATGAAGTTTTTTTCTTTTCAATCACTGCGTAAGCCACTTCATGTTATTGTTTCAATCGGAAAAAAAAATATTGCCCTTACTTATGTCTGCCATTTTTCATCTTTGAATGTTTTTTCAGAAATGTGAAGACGAAAACACAGTGGAAGAGATGCAAGAAAAATTCTTTTAGATACTGCAGTAAGGAGATATGCAATTTTTTAAAAGTGCACGGATACACAATTACCTTCTTATTCAATGGTCTTTTTTCCAATAACAAGAGAGAGTTTCGCTCGAACACCCTCACCTTACAGTAAGCGTACCAATCCTATGTGAGAGTATTATCAAAGGTGATTCTTCGTGTTCTGATAATATCTTATCGAATAGCAGGTCAATGTCATCAAATATAAAGCACAAAGTAACGGATAGAGTTTTCATTCTTATCTTTTCATATTGTTTGATCATTTTTCATTATCCATTGCTTCACTCGGTAAGATGTCAATACGAAAAGAAAATGAAAGTTGGTCTCAAGTTTTACTTGATAAAGTTGTGTTTATTACGGGTGCTGGTGGAAGTATTGGTTCTGTCATTTGCCACACATGTGCAATGCATGGAGCTAAAGTAGTAGTATCTGATATTAATAAGAAAGCTGCAGATAAAGTAGTGGTAGATATTCTTGAAACACAAAATGAACAATCGGATCGAATAATGAGTTTAGAACTTGATATAGTTAATGAACAAGCCATTGAACAAGCAGTAGAACAAGTAGTTGATCAATGGGGTACAATTCACGTTCTCGTTAATGCGTACGTATGAATATAATCAATCACGGAAAGATTAGAGTAGAAAGGTTTTTTTTCATTCATATTTTTATCGTTGAGAATCAAATAATAAGTAATATATGGTTTTTAATAAATTCTTTCTTTTTCATTTTTAGAGCAGCTATATTTACTTGGGGTTCCATTGAAGATATTTCAGCTGATGATTGGTTACATATTTTAAATGTTAATGTGCGTGGTTGTGCTTTGATAGTTAAACATGTTGTACCTTTACTTAAACAACAACGTTCAGGTTCTATCATTCAATTTGGTAGTATAAGTGGCGTAAATGGTCAAGCAAGTTTTGTTCCATATGGTACTACAAAAGCAGCTGTAATACAAATGACACGAAATTTAGCAGTCGATCTAGGTCCATTTAATATTCGATGTAATTCTATTTCTCCTGGTTGTATCAGTAAGTTTTTTTAAAGTGATTATTTTGACTTCATAACTAATATATACCGATCATATCATAGAAACACCAGTAACTGCTCAAGTGGCAGACTTTAAAAATTTAACTATGGATGAGTGCTTTCAACAACGATCAGAAGTGCAATGTTTAAAACGAATAGGTACACCACAAGAAATAGCTAATTTAGTCGTATTTCTTGCTTCGGATTTATGTTCATTTATTACTGGTGCTAATTTACTTGCAGATGGAGGTTATACCACTGTTTAAGATTAACTTTATTACATAATCATAGTCGAAATTCACTATTTAAAAAAAATCCTTTTTCTTCGTTCGACATATATTATATTCTAGCAACATGAAAAGGTGGATAATAAATTTATTCTTCATTTAAAATTTACATATTGATTTATGAATATAATTTGATGAATAACATGGTTAACCTAGGGTGGGGTATGGATGTAGGTGTTCATATTCGTTTCATCCGCACCCCATACAAGTCACAAACTACCACTCTCTAGACATATTGCGCCTATGTTTTACGAATAGTTCTTAAGCCTGAAATAGAATTTATTTTTGTTAATGTATTTTCATTGTAAGATATGACAAAATCGAGTTAGGCATTTTGCAAAGTTTTTCAAGCTCTATTTCATAGGCTTATCAAAGAATTTTCTGAAAAAATTTCTAGAATACCAATAAGTTTTCGATCGTTCAGATTTTCAAAAGAAAAACTATTACTGTGTTCTTATTTTCTCATGTTTATAATCAAGTCATGGATCTTACCATACTATGAAAGTCTACTTCAATCCCAAATGAATTATTTTTTCTCTCTCGATAAGATAGCAGGAAAAGGGTCAAACATAATTCATTCTGACCTGTTCTCGAAATAGTAGATTTTTTGTGATATTTTTTAGCTAATATCATCTTTCTTATGTTCCATGAGATAGAGTACGCTTGATGAAATCAAAAATGATGATTAGAAGCATTCAAACAATGACTTTTATTGGAAATATGTCGAAAAGTAGTTTTTTAATCGTTTAAATGCCTAGTATCCTTTTCCATTAACATAATATGCTTTATCCAGTTTCGATTTATTTACAGTTCACTCATTATGAAGAAACCTATATCAATGATTTAGTTGTCGAACTTATTCTTTTCTCAAAAACCTTAGGGTTAACTCTATATGAAAATAGAAGCAGAAATATAAAGTGCATATATAGGATGTCCCAAAAGTCTCTTCCTAAAAGTTGTTTAGTATAACTTTACTATTGAATTTAACTTTATCAATAATTTTTTTAAAATGATAAACGAATATATACCAAGTTTTTATTTATACGAGCAAACTTTTAAAAAAAACATCCTTCAAAGCCATCATCTCTAACTAAAATACAAAGACAGGCTTTTTTTTATATGTCGAAAAACATTACACAAAGATTCGTTTTTGATTATTCCGATTTTTTGAATCATTCCAATCTGTAAATTGTTCAGATTCTCAACAATCGTTGTATAGACATTTTTTTTCATATATTCTCACCAAAATAAATCCAATGGTATTAAGTCTAGTGAATGCAAAAAATCATGAAGTTGATCCATATGTTCTAAACAAATAATCGTCAAATTTATTGGTCAGACCATCGCGAACTGCCTAGGCGCAATGTACTGCTATCGTTTGTTGCTGGAAATCACTTTTTTTTCTATAAAATCAAATAAAAGAAATTTTGGAGTATGCCAAGGTATTTTGTCGAACAAGCGTTGGATCATCAAAAAATTAATCCTAGAATTAGTTTGCTTGAGATTACACATCACATAGTAAGTTTTGGTGAGTGCATTGCAAATTCAAATGAACACACGAATCATTTTTATATTTCAATTGGAGATAATAGCTTTGAAGAATGGTTTTAAAGTTTGCTTGTATAAATAAAAATTCGGTGTACCCATCTATCACTTGAAAAAAAATAGTTGATAAAGATGAATTGAATAGTAGAGATATACTAAAAAAACTTCCAGAAAGAGACTCTTGGAACACTCGGAATGTAGTAATAAGTAACGGTTAAATTTTATTCAAATGATTAATAAGTTTGAATTTAAGAAAAATTCCAAAAATCAGAAAAAAAAGAAAATCGAAAAGTGATTGGAAAAAAGTTCGAAAATCAGAAATTTTTCTTGTCACATCGGAAGATCTGGCAACCCTTATGTGACGTCCATCCACAAGTGTATTTTATCGCCATTCTTATGACATGTAAAATTGTTGTTTGCCATCAATCGTGTCGAATTTTGAATAAACCATTCATGTGTCAAATCTTTGAATAATGATGATTGACAATAAACAAATGTAACAATCGATACATGTTTCAGTCTATCAATTAACAAAAGCATTGTGTCTGGATCATCTATTTTGATATATAAACGTTCTAATCGTGGAAATACGATGCATATTTGTTCAGCAGAGTATTTCATCACAGTGCGATTGATCGTCAATGAACGAATCGATTGAAAAATATTTTTTGTCAATACTGGTGCATTGACAAATGCAAGTGATTGTAAGCGAGGTAATTGTAAAAATGGCAAAATTTGATCTAAACTGATAGTGTTATATGTTTGGGATACCAGTGACGTTACATTGATGAAACGATGCTTCAATGGACAGAGTGTGGGCAACGTAAGAATGTCAACAAATTGATCAAAATATAGATCTGATGATGTACATGGTAATGTACGATAGTTCGACGAATAAATAATGTTCTTCGGTGCAAAACGAGGTACTGTAAAAAGACACGGTGATGATTGATGATCATCATAGGCAACAAACCATTGTTTTTGTTCGAGCCAAAATGATGATCGAAATGAATCAAGAATCTGTTCGCTGGATTTATGCGAGAGACAAAATCGAAAATCAAATGTTTGAAGATGTGATACTGAATATTTCCATTGATGACCATCGATTATATCCTTCACATCTTCAACATCGACATTTAAATGTCGAGACCACTGTGTCCATTGTGTACCACCAACAATATCTATTGGATCGGTAATTTGAAGTTCAAAATGCATTAGACAAGGCAATTTCGACAAAAATTGATTCATTCTGCCCATTGTCAATCGGCCATCTGATCGTTTAAATAGAAAGATAACAGATAAGTTATTAAAAACTAATCTTAGATTAAAAAATTATCTTACAGTCGATACAAAGAATCAATCGTCTTAGATAATTCATCACTGAGACTTTTTCCGACCATTGAGTAAAAACATCAAGGGAAATAGTAATGTTCAAAGAAGAAAGATTGGGCATTTGACGAAATAAATATCCCAAATTATAACAATAACAATGTGTAACAGTTAAATATTTTAAATTGTTCAATGGTTTCGATAGTGGACATTGGTTTGTAATCAATTGTCTCAATCGAGGTAGGATGATTTCTACTTGAGATCCAAAATGACACCAATAAGTTGATGAAATGTGTGGTAAAGTTAACGATTGAAAATTATTAAATTGACATAAAAGACTCAATTGTCTGAAAATACTCTGATCTGATGAGATAATAGCAAATGAACGAAGATTAATAAATTGTAGAATATCAAATTTTGAAAAAAATAAATTTGATTGATCGGGTGTGTCATTATTTTCAGCAATTGTAATAGAAATGACTTGTTCTGGTCGGATAAGCTGACACATAAGATCAAATTGATGCTTGAGCATAGACGACAAGCTAATCGAATATCGCTTATAATTAATAAGAACACTATCAACATAAGCACTTAACTGAGAGAATCCATAGTAAATCTCATGTGCCCATAAATAATGAAAAATTTCATGAATTAATTCAACTGGTAAAAATTCGAATACACACAAGTACATTATTCAAGTAAGAATAAATTCTAAATGACACTCACTATGAATAGTGTAATTACTCAAACAATACGTAATGATGATGTCAAATATCTTATATCATGTATTTACTCTTTCTCTCTCTTTCCTTCTGTAATTGTATGATGGCAAGAACAAAATAGTCACATATTCACGTGTGTGCTATCTTCATATACTTGTTTACATCGATAAGAAGCTATCATAACACGACGAGAGAAAAATTTCTATTGGTTCGAATATCTATCGACCATAAGATCGAAACCATAAGAGTATCACCATAGGGGACGAAAATTTGGATTGAGCTACATCTGCCCAGCGAATATCTAATATCAAAATTTCAGTGAGTGTAGGTGAAATGAAGTCCAATACCCACACTCTAATAAAACCTATTGCAGTTGAGTTTTTTTCATTACTGGGTGTGGATGTGAGTGTGGTCATAAATGCACGTGTAGGTGTGGTTCTTACTATTGTTATCGTCCACATTCACACTCTTATAAATATTAGTTTCGATATGTCCTCATTTAAATAAATCAAATGGTGTCTAACTAAAATTCAAGTTATTTAACATGAAACACTGCTTAATATTAATATGGAATTGTTATATCTCAGTTGAGGATCGTTACTTTAACGATCACTTTTTATAGTTTGTTTAGAGAAATTAAAATTTTGGTGGAGTTATCCATTAAAAAAGAAAAGTGAATTAATGTTGACATTTTGAGAAAAAAATCTAGAGTGCGAGCGTTTATTTTCCACATCGAATATACATGATATCGATTATGATCGAAACAATTATGCTTTTCTTAGAAAATGACGATATTTTACAAAGTTTCACAGACGGTTCTCGAGTTGGGGAAACGCGAATCTGTTGTTGGTTTTTCGAAATTTGAAGTTAATTCTTTTCCAAAAGATTATTCAGTAGTGTATTAATATAATCAGTCACAGAGATAATTGATGTGAAGAAGAAATGCTCAGCTGAGTGATGCTTATGAGAGTCAGTTGTACACCGATAGTTTAGAAAGAATTTGTAAATATTCCATATTGATTGTTGAGAAAGAATTGCCACATGAAAATGCAGTCTAATTCTCAAAACAAGATTCATTTCTCTTAGCCTTTCATCAGATCGTATTTCTTCGATTTGTTGTTTGTCACTTTGAGTATTCTATCTAGATGAACAATATCAATATTCATTTCTTCGCTCTCAAATATTATATAACAGAATCGTCAAATGTCACATATCAATACATTGAAACGGACAATATTATCTTCTAAATAGAAGATTTTATCTGACCCATTTTTATGATAAACTACGCAAGTTTCATATCTAAAACAACCGAAAAATAAGATTGTTGAATGAATATAGTTTAAAGTATTAGGAATGTGGCGACTCATTAAGTCTCTAACAAGTTTCTAATAGTGAGAAAACTATGATTAAAATGGTAATTATTAACAATCTTCTACTCAATAGGCAACGTTAAATTTATCTGTATCGAAATCAGTTCATAGTATCAATATTAAAAAAAGGAAATTGATCAAAAAAACGCGGGGATGGGAGTGAGTCATCAGGCGCTATACAAAGCACCCGATTACACCCACACCATGTCTAACAACACAAAGCCATCCTATAATATGTTTCATCTTTTTCTACGCTCTTGAGAAATATAAAATAATGGAGCTTTCTTGTTGTTCTATTTTTCTAATTAATAGATGTCAGATTGAGAAGAGAAGCGAGAGAATAAATGACTTATTTTAGTATGTTTAGCATAATCAAATGGAATAATAATAGGTAAAGCACAAGTACCGATAACAGTAGAGTTTTGTAAGCTGAGCTGACCTCTGGATGGGTTCGCCTTTGAAAAGGTTAACCTGCGCAAGAGTCTAGTTCAGACAATGAAACTTTAACAGTTAATCTGACGATCAGTGTCAAAATGACGAAAATCGTCAATAAAATACGCGGTTATACCGTAACTGTTGACATGACTTTCAGTGTAATATGGATTTTGACGCTGATTGTGAGCAGAGTTTCCGGCGTGCTGTTTTTTATGAAAATGCTATATATATGTATATATTTTTGATAATTATCTGATCGTATTACATTTGTAATCGACATAACTGTATAGGAAGTTTTTGTAAAGAACACACGAGAACATATTAGTTCGACATGAAGAAATCGTCTTTGCAGGTAATTTACCTTTTTACTTATTCTGATCACATATGTTTTTTTTTCTTTGTGTCAAACTGAAAATAATTTCTCTTTTTGAACTCATTCAAAGACTTTGCTTCTAAAATAGAAATCGATCTATAAAGAATTATGAAGAATAGGTTCAACTCTCTCTTGACGAATTGTTATAACAGTAAGGGATCATCAAAAAAACTCGATGAGAACGATAATGATGTTCGAATACAAACAAAATTCGCCACTGATTTGAACTGCTGTCATACTGACAAATCTTGCCTTTTTCTGCGAGTAAACAAACTATTTTTTTTTCTTAATATTCAAACAATTTTCATACGTTGGAATAATTTTTTTGTTAAACATCAGTTTCTAAAGATTATTATTCCGATATCAATCTATTCATATCTATAAATAATTCAGAGTCTACTATATAATCAGACAACATTTTGTTGATTTGTTTAAACAGAAAAAAGATAATCATTCATCTATACAATGAAGTCAATATGATAATGATCAAAGCCATACAATGTGGTGAGCGGGTGCAAAGACGAAAAAAACATCCAATTGTATATGAAATGAGCATGGAAAATATTTAGAGAAGACGCCGTATCTCATTGCATAATGTTTCTCATAAAGAAATAGTTTATGGTGATATATAGAATTCTTCGTTTATTTTTGCGAACCAATTTGAAATGTAATAATTATTGCTGATAAAATTCAATTTTCACTAATGAAAAATGTCAAGTAACAGCCATATTAAAGTATTTAATATGGAATTAACTCGTTTCTAACAATATTCTTTTTCTTTGTTGCATATACAATGCTTAACACGAGCTTTTATTTTATTTATTCTCATATTCTTCAAGCTGATTTAATTCAGTTGTTGCATCACCACTTGTTATTTTAATATAACGGTGACAGATCAATTCGTTGCAATCATTTCTTCGCATATAAACTGTGACGAAAAATGATAGAAGGGATGTTAGTGTCGATGGGGTTACACTTTATTCTATTCCTTCATAGCATATAATCGTCTTGTGATGATCAATGATACAAGGGATATTAGTGTGATTGGTGATACACTTTATTCTATTCCCTCATATCATACAATCGTATCATTTACATATAAAGCACACGCTTATATACACGAGTAGAATAAGAGAGAATGAAAAGAAAGAAGATGAGCCCAAGGAGAGAATACATATAGAAGAACAATAGAGTAAGGATATAGGGTATGAATAGATAAGTAAGAACAATACATATAATATACGAGTGAATGATGATATAGAATGAGAAGTTCATTACGGCAGAGAAAGAAGAAGGTTCAATCATGCATAGATAAACGTAACAGTAACGCGATTATGAACACTACATGTCATTGATTGTATAGCAACACAGTGAGAAAGAAAAGATATCCCATAAGATAATATGCCCATTGGCACATAAATGATAACATGCACTAATTCATTTAATTGATTTAGTTTTGTATGTTATTTAATTAATCACGTAAATGTATGCTCTACTATGAAATCATTAGATCTAAATGATGGATAGAAGGTGCACCTTGAAGGAACAAATAATTTAATTCTAAAAAAGTTCGCTTAAAAACCCTTCTGTTAAAGTGAAAATAGTCTGCTACCAACTAAGACTCAAATTCTTTCAGGGGTATGATGGAAAAAGATAGGAAAGAAAAACTTCGAAAGAGAAAAATGTCGAAAATAAAAATATCGAAAACGAAAATGATACAAATGTAGATTGATAGAAATGCTGAAAAAGAGAATATATTGAAGTACAAATATTTCCACCCTCACTTTCAATCTTACATGTTCATCTTCAATCTCATATTCTTATTTTTGACATTTTTATTTTCGATATTTTTCCTTTCTACCTTTTTCCACCCATTCCTTATTCAACTAGTATCATAGTAATAAAATTTCGGCAAGAACTAATTTTGTGTAAAATATAACTGTAACATTGGATCATGTTTTCATCCATGTGCATTTTTGTTTTTGGTTGTTTCTTTGTTCTTCTCTTCTCTTTCCTTTCTTCTTTCTTTTCTCGTCTCTTCTAATAGCTAGTCCTTCATAAATATGGTGCACGTAGTCTATCATAGGCAATAATAGTAGAATAAAAAAAATATCGAACAAGCTCAGTAGCTTTTTATTTCATCAATATACGATTAAATTTCACATACTCAAGAAACGAACTGGATGGGTGTCTTAATATACATTTATATATATCAATGTCTGAGGTACCATGTAGTTAAAACAGACGAGAAAAGAACGGAGAAAGGAAAGATAAGAGAGGAGCAAAGAAACAACCAAAAATAAAAATGCACATGGATGAAAACATGATCCAATATTATAGTTATATGTTACACAAAACTAGTTCTTATCGAAATTTTCTTATTATGACACTAATTGAATAAGGATGAAATAGCACAGAAAATAGAGCTTCATTTTCTCTATCACCCCATAGAAAAAGAAAATTTCCTCAAGCCTTCTATAAGAAAATAAGGTACCTCCACTACTACTTTTGAGTACCCTGTAGTATTACTTATCAAATAATTTTAAAATGTGCCATGAAAAGATACGATTTAATTTCGCATTAATTTTACAAGATTTTTCTTTACTTTTCACTTAGTTTTTTATTCGTACATGTTTACTTCTTCTTTAAATTTTAAAATTTTTCATTTGATTTTCAGATGACAAGAAGAAAGTTACTTGTACATTTTCATAACTCACGGCACTTCAGTAAGAACCATTTATCCACCAGCTACAATAGATAAACGATTAACCTTCACTTCATCATGTGGAATCAATTCCCCGATAATGACATATCTAGTGATCTGTCTACTTTGGTTGACGATTTGATCCATTTAGGTCTTCAGAAGTCATCTTTATGTTCCACCACCATCACCACCACCATCACTTCTCCTACCACATCTGTTGTGCCATCAGCAGAAGGTGAAATCCAAGTCGAAGTTGATGAAGCTATCCCTCTTCTTAGTTTCATCTCATCGCATTTCTCCGTAAAACCAACAAAGTATGGTGGTCGTGGTTGTTTTGCCGATACTGATCTTGCTCAAGGCACAATTGTTCATGAATGTTCTATGCCACTCAGTTCAACTATTGCTCGACCTTTTAGAAAAGAAGTTTGTGAGTCTTGTTTCAAATTTTTATACGGTAAAACTTTAAAATTTAAATTGATGTCGCGAATGAATAATCAATATAATTCTACGTCTGTTTCTACATCTGCTTCTGCATCTGATTCTTCATTAGCACTTTATTTCTGTTCGCAACCTTGTATGGACAAGTTTATTGCTTTGGACATAGATGATTTATACCGGGAAAGTTTATTGAATGTGGAAAGTCTTTTCATTAAAAGCTTGAATCAATGTCAATATGACCTTAAAAGGGAGAAACAACAAGAAGAAGCGGAAATAGAAGCTGAATTAAAATTAGAAAATGAATTAAAACAAGCTAAAGATATTGAATTATTCATCTCTCAGAAGTGGAAAGAAGCTGAAATTAATTGTCAATTACAATTATCTAAATTGAAATCAAAACAAAGAAAAAACTTTAATAATTTGATTCATTTAATTCCTAAAATTAATGAAAATGAATATATGGAAATTAAATATATTATTGGAATACTATTTCAAATGTATAAACGTGATAATTGTGAAAACAACAAGTTATCCTCATCATCATCAGTATCTTTATTCTCATTGGAACTTCAAATATTTCAACTTCTTCAATTAAATGATATTGAAAAAATTTGTAAATATCCTTATTTAATTCATTCTTATACTAATAAAATTTATAAATTCTTAAAAATTTCCACATTGGAAAAACTTCAACCATATATTATTCCATCTATAATTCGTTCAATCATTGGTAAAAGTTTAACAAATGCCTTTGGAATTTGGTCAATTGATGAACCAGATGGAAATAAAGAATTCTTTGGATATTCATTATATCCATCAGCTTCATTTTTTAATCATTCATGTAATCCAAATCTAATTAAAATTAAAAAGGGAGCAAAAATTATTTTTAAACTTTCAAAAAATATTAAAAAAAATGAAGAATTATGTATAAATTATGGCAATTCTATTAATGATGATTTAGAAATAAGGCAAAAAGATTTAAAAGAATGGTTTTTTGATTGTTTATGTGAACGATGTGTTGAAGAAATGAATTTAAAAAATGCACAAAAATAAACAAAAAAAATAAGAAAAAAAAAGTGTATTACATTGTTCATCTAGGTCATCAATTTTCATTATATATTTCTAAATAATAAGTATACTTGTGAGATATCTTCTTCATTGTTATTTATTTTATTGTATAGTAAAATCATAATCTTTATAAAAAAAAGTTTTAAATTTTCACGATCTTTAATTTCTTTAGCTTTGGGCTGATGATATTTTTCCCAATACGATCTTTACATGATCTTGTAAGTGGTTCTTTTACAATAGTAAGATAAGCATGAGTTCCAATGAATATAATCAAATGAGTTTCAACTTTGGGATTGGTAAACAAAAGAAATAATTCTCTGGTGTAACTTCAATTTTGGGTTTTCAGATATTGTAGATGCGGATGTAGATTTTTCAATTTCATTAAATGATCGTTTATTAGTATTTTCAACTTCTAATTTTGTGTGAAATGGATTTTCAACAAATTCAACCTTATTTATGTCTGGTTGTGGATCATTCTTTTATTGAGAAATTATTCCAAATACGTAACCCCATCTATCTCCACTTCCTTCCTGTGCCAAACTTATAAATATAGTGATTTTATTGTCATTATTGTTGCTGTTGCTGCTACTATTATCATTTTTATCATCATCCAATTTGAATACCTTATTTTCAAAGAATCGATCGGGGGTGAGAACAACTACCATAATCTAGATTTTGCTTCAGCTATGAAGTTCATCAGTCGGTCAGATGTGAAGTTAGAGATTTTATAATATCTAGAATGGGAAAAAACAAGAATGAATAATGATTTTAAATAATAGAAAAGTACAATTGATAGTGTTTAATTTTTTCTCGTTCCAGTCTAATTTACAGTAACAACTGAAGAAAACATCAGAGAAATAGAAGGTCAGATACAAATATTTCTCGGTAAAGTTTTGTATTTTTGCATGTTGTGCTTTGTTGATGATCGTAAGAATTAATTTTATTTTGATTGATCAGTTGGAAGCGACAGATTTAATCGTTTACTCTTTTTCTTTTCTTATTCCATCTAATGAAATATCAAAAGAAAAGCATTTCGCCGCATTGTATGATATTAGTTTTCGTATTTTTGGCAAAGACTTACTTTGAGTTATTGTATTCTGTAATAATGCTTGTTTAGGTCGCTTACGGATCAATTCATTTTATGTATATCGGCGATTATGGTTACTAATAATCACCTTTTCATGGATGGCTAGTGTGTTTTCAAATATATCTTCATAGACATGATGCATGTCGCGTTTGAATGTTTCAAAAACGTTTTTCGTATTTATAATGAACAAATAATTTGCCGTCGTTACTGATTGGTTTACTGTGTGTTGTATTTTTTGATTCGATCATTTGGTCATCTCTTTGTTTATTGTCAATATCGGGTATGGGTGTGGATAAATTGACAATTGAGCCTTTAACATTTAAGCCTCGACAAATGAGCTTTCACGCATGAGCTTCTCGACATTTAAGCCCCTGATATTTGAGTCTTTCATCATAACAGACTTTGACATTTGAGACTTTCACAGGTAAGTCTTGTTGTAAAGAGCAATAAAGACCTGAACTCGTTATATACAATTATAGAAAGTATCGCCGAATTCATTGTCATTTATATATTGTCGTCACGACTAAAGCTCAGTCACATTTATAATTTGGCTGACTTTTTGACTAGGCAAATTTTAAATTTGACTGAATTTCAGTGTTGACTAAACATGTATCAAACCTGAACCAGTGTTGAACAACTCCAACTTGGAGTTGGAATTAACTCCGAAGTTGACGATTTTTTTACTCGAGTTGGAGTGGAATTTCGCAATTAGTGGATAGAGTTGGAGTTGACGTCTTTTTCCAACTCTAGTTTAACTTCTGTTGATTTCAGGACTCGCTAGAAGAGAACGGAAAAAAGTCGACAATAAAAATGCGTGCATGCGTATGGTATTCACGACGCAATTAAGAAAATTGGAGATGAATGACCTTGAATTATTACATCGAGAAAAAGAAAAATAGAGAGATATAAACAGAATTTAGAGAGTCATTGGTGACGTGATTAAATATTATTTGTTAAACAATTCGATGCATCGAGGACATATGTTTCTAATTTTTCATTATTTATGAACAACCTGAGTGCAAATGGATTCGTCATCTGATGTAACAACAATTGATCATCATGGTTTTGAACAATATTATGAAGATTTTAAAGAGTATATTACAGGTGATCTGAAAGGTAAAACATCTGCTACGTGTATTTTATGCAAAGAGACTGTTTGGCATATAAAAAATTCTACGTCAAATTATAGTCGTCATTTACAACGGAAACATAAAGCTGAATATGATTGTAATCAAAAAATGCATCATGTAAAGAAAAAAAACGTGAACAATATGAAACAAATTTCTTTAGAAGATAGTTCACCTTCGTCGTCTCATACATCAAAATATGGATCAATTCGTCCTCGTCAAGTAGAATTAACTCGGATGGCTTTAATGACTCTATCATTCGATTAGATTTACCATTATCAATTACTGGAAAACCTACACTTATTCAAGCTATGAAAACAGTGGATCCAAAATTTCGTGTTCCATCTCGACGGTCAATCACATCTGATTATTTACCAAAATTACATGAACAGATTATCAACAAATTAAAAACTACATGCTCATCAGCTGATTTTCTTTAATTAACATTCTATGGCTGGATAGATCGTCGTATATGAGCATTATATGCCGTTACAATGCATTATATTGATCAAACGGGACAATTCAAAGCACATTTGCTCGCTTTTTATCCTCTTTCTGGTAAGATTTTTTATTTGATCTATATTAAAACTAAAGTGATTTCTCATGAAATCGCATGGAGGCTTATGATAAATGTTTCATTCACTCTTTGTGTACGCAAAAAGTGAGTACACTCTAGAATCGGTCAGTGTGTTCTTCCGACCGTTCACACGATAACTTTTGAAAAGAGAGCCCGATCGGGATAAAATTTTGTAAACAGTTTAGTCTCATCAATATCTCAGTTGAGTTTGAAGATGAGAATGATTTGTCAAGCCATTGGTGAGCTATTGCAAAAATAGTCATTATCCCCTATGCTTTCCTATGCGAACATCGACCTATCCCGGTTTTCCTAAAAAACTTTTCCTCTCATAATCAAACAAAATCCCAACTATTGTATACCATTCGATAGAGAATTCCACGAGCTACAAAATAGTGTATAAAACATAAAGAAACAAGAAGACTAAGTCACCTATTGCAAAGATAATTAAACGAAAATTGGTTCTGTGTTTGTCCACGCTCTTATTGATCGAAGATTAAAGTCCCGTCTTCCGATCACAGAAATGATATTTCGAGATTTTCTGGGGTGGAGAACTTGAATATGAGCTCCATTTACCTCAAAATCCTATTGGTTGAGCAGTAACCAATAGAAATTAAGTTTAAGCGAAACAGTTTGCTAGGATAATTTTGATGTCTATCCATGCTATAATGACTCATCTGTCTAGTTCGCTTTTAGAAGTATATATAACGCTCGGATTTAAATCAGGAGCGGCACAAAGAGGTTGGAGCAGGGGGGAGATCAGTCCTAAAATCGGGGAAAGTCAAAAATTGTTCTCCAAACTAAAGTTTTCTCCGAATGAGAGAAAATTGTGTAATATATTTCTCCAAAATCGTAGAAAATCGCTCAAAACTATTCTTGAAACTTGAATTCTTTTTTAATTTAGAAAAAATTTCTAACGAATTTCTGAAAAATGGGAGAAAATTGCCTAATAACTCTCTTTGGAATTGGATTTTTCTGCTTTCAGAGAAATACAGTAAACAATTTTCTATAAATTCGGACAAAATTCAAGTTTGGAGAACGGTTTTAGGCAATTTTCTTTCACATTGTAGAAATGCATTAAATGATTTTCTCCAATTTTGGATAAAGTTTTTTTATATATGCCTTCAAAATCGGAGAAAGTCTCAGCCAAAATTTTCTGCAGCAGGAGGTAACTCTCTCCGGTCGCGCCGTCTCTGATTTAAATCCAATGTTTTTACATTTATTTGTTTCTTGGATCGTTACTATTACATGCTGGTCGAAGTTTAAATAAAAGCCGCTGAATAAAATTATTCAACATGATGTGATTCAGAAAATTTGAATTATAGAAACCTACAATAATTTATTTTTTAACTATGATATAAAAGGAATTTTGAGTATATAACTTCCAAAGACTGATTCAAAATCATTACTTTTTTCGCTATTCATTAGAATAGATATACAATTTTACATCGATCTTTCGATAAACTGGTTGATTGCAAAAAAAAAAGAACTTTAATTCAGGCGGGTCCAGAAATCATTGGATCCGATTTGATGAGAAATTCGAAGAAAAAACTTTCACAATTTCTTTATCGATGCGTTTGTCTTTCATTACACAAACAGGAGATCATGATCAATAGAGATATGATTTGGATGCATTATATTATCATATCTGATTGCATAACCAATAGATATGGGATCAGTTAGGTTTTGAACCGAACCGGATCGAAATCGATTCGGTTTGAGTTCAAGAAAAAACAAATCAGTTCGATTCCAAAAAATTACGAATTGTTCTTATCTCTGATAGATAACTTCCCATGTCGTGCGAAGCATCGGTTAATTGCGACTCTTCTGCTTGAGTTTTTGTTAATATCTTACAGCATGAATATTTTTAAACTCTTAGAGAAAACATGTTGAATTTCAAACGAAATTGTGCTTTCTATTAACTAAAAGCTTGCCCAAGCCACTTTTATCAGCCATATCGACTTGGCTGTTTTAGCATTTATTAAAGATGGTACCATTTGACAAAATACACTGTGACATATTGAAATCGACTTTTCGAGTAGCGGTCGATCTCTCTGAGGCAAAAAATATTCATTTAATAGAAGAATTATTAAAAAAAGGAGTACACCGTTCTAACAGTTTGATTTTTTATGATTCCCGATCAACCGTCAGTTTTAATGGAAAATTGATGACATACGCTCCTATTCATTATCATGAAACACAAATGATCATTACTTGAGTATATTTATAATTTTGCTTCATAGATTAAAATTCTTTTTTAATATCGAGCCGAATAAATATACATCTCATTTATTGATAAAATTAAAAAAATATGTGTAATTATATAATATTCAAATAATATGTGTTGAATATAAAAATAAAATATGAAATGAGAGATATTGCATATACTGATCTATATAATTTAATAAATTATGATGGATCCTGTGAACTATGATGAAATGATTTTGCTCGAACAAATCCTCGATTATTACCCAATTTATATCGAGCTGATTTTGGTTGTGGAATTCTACTAGAATTAGACGATGATTGTGGTGCTGATTCCTTAATTAAAGGCAAAGAAACATTTTCTTTTAGAATTATATGTTTTCAATCTTACTGGTGTATGACGATGATTATTGGATGTAGATAAATTAACATTAGAAATATTTGTTGAATGATGTAATGCTAAAAGTTTTTCTGATTGAGCTAATAATGATTTTCGAAGACGTTTATTTTCTTCTACTTGTCGTGCTAATTCCATTGTTAATTCTTGACGTTCACGTTCAGCAATGATCTATAGAAAAAAATTATTAGAGAATAATGTTCTTAAAATTTATCAATCATACTCGTTCATTGCCTATGTTTGATTCAATTGCTGTTGCTGTTTTCATAGATCGAAGTAATAACGTACTTTCTGTTTTTAAACGATTTAATTCCGATCGAAGACGATCATTTTCAAGTAAAAGTTGCTTAATAATGAAAAGAATAAAATAATAATAATAATAATGTGCATTTAAGATCGCCCATCCCTCCTCTCCAAAACTGATTTCGTACCAGCGTCTGAAATTATTAGGATATAGTAGGGCCATCGTGGAGGAGTAATAGTAAGAAATTCTCGTTCTATATACAATGAAACCTCTCTCAATAAACACCCCTTGATTCTGAATGTGAACATCAATAGAAGGCGCTGTTTGAATAAATTATATGATTGAAATTGTGAAAGTGATTATTAAGAAATGAATCTGTTCTATGATTTAATTCAATGAAAGCAAAAAAAGAGAAAGAATGAACAAACAGATATCGTTGTCTTTTTGAGCAGCTCCTCAACTAGAGATGAGACAAGAACTAAAACTTGTTCATTGGGAGTGATATCTTTTACGATCGTGTAAGATTCGTGTCAAATGTCATATTTTCACGACTCATGTGTTCTAAAAGTTGATGCGAAAATTATTGAGTAACGATTACTTCAATATTTGCTGTTACAATTTTGATAGTAAAATTTATTCTTTCTTTCGTAAACAAGAAAGTTGTCGAACGCATAAAATGTGCAGAATAGACGAAGTATGAATGAATTAAAACAAGTAATGAAACTTCAAGAAGGAAGACATTAGAAGTCATGCAGTTCGTGCAAGATGCCTCGAGTGCGTAGACACTACTAGAGAATGATATCGTATTTTCACTAGCACATACATTACTAAACCCAAAACCAGAAGGAAAATTTTTTTCTCTCATCACTATTCTCAACATTTGTGTATCAGATATATTATCTCGGAATGCTCTTGATTTAGAATGAAAAAAATGAATTTTATCAAAGATAAAGAATTTGATTTATCTCATTGTGAATTACGAGAAAATTTCAAGCGTTCATCGACGTTGTATCAAATATTCTTAAAAGAAAAAATAAATATAATAATGATTATGAAACTAATCTAAACAAAAACCCGAATCATGATTTTAGTCAAACTATCAATGACAGTGTCTAAACCTAATTAGGCAGGATCTGGATGTGATGTCTGAAATCCACCTGTTTAAAAAAATATTTTATAAAATTACAAAAAAAGCACTTGAAAGGAAGCACAAAGTAATAAAACTAAAATTTTGATCTATCTATTTACTTAACCTTCTCTTTTATGAAAACCCTATTATATTGAATGATTTTTGTCGGTTCCAACCGTGTTTTCTTAAGCAAAGGAAAAGAAATGAGAAGTTCAATGCCTTAAAAATGATATCTTCTCATGTATTTATCTTAATTTCGATAATTCTGAGAAAAATTGACTTTTTTTTTGAGGGTGAGGCCTTAAATAAATACCTCATTTGCTTTAATTACATCGTCTATACATGTATAATTTGGAATTTTTATATCAGAGTATGGTTGTACATCTTTATGACGTATTTGTTCAAGATGTACTTTATAAGATCGAAGAAGATTTGCTTCATCTGATGTATTGGATGATGCTGAAGCTGTATCATTATGAAAAGTTTTACTACGTGCATAAGGCACTGGAGGTAAAGGACGTGAAGTTGATGGTAAATTATTTGTAGGCACTATTGGTATATCATCATTAGTTAATTTTCGAGGCGTTACTGGTACTGGAATACGAGAAGGACTTGTAACTCGAGCTGATGTTGGATGTGAAATTGGTGGTTTTTTTATTGTAAATGTTCGATTAAGTTCATTTTCATCCGATGATGGAACACCTGGATGAATTTGACTTTTAAGAGTTGTCATCTCACGTTCAAGAGATTCAAGACGATCGTTATCTATATATGTGAAAGATAGATATGCATATATATATATATCTGTATACAAACAAAATATTCTAGATTATGACTAATAATACATACATCGTAGTTGTGTATTAGTATATTCACTTAATAATGATGATAGATCAGTACGAATAATCGTAGGAGCAGTTTCTCTTTCACGAGCAACTATTTCAGGTATCGATTCTCGATTTAGTCGAACTTGTTGCATATTTTCAAGTGTCGATAAGGTCGAGAAGCCTATTTAAATATCCATCTATTATTCTTCATTTTCCATAAGCGGTACTATGACAACACCTCTATATAGAAAAACGAGGTCGCCATCGAACGGTTGTACTTTGTGTTTAACAATTTATCAAGATGCGAAGCACTTTATAGTGATCATTAATTTTTTTTCTTGAATTCCAACATCCATAGTCCATATTTTGTGGCACGATGATCTTGAGAACCGTATATCGTCTGATGCTCATGGAAATATTATAAATGGTCTAGGATTTTGTTTTCATTATATCGTGCAAGAAAAACTGAGAGTGAAAAATATCAAAGCGATTTTCCGATGTGAACAAATTCAGGAGTGTGTTTTTTTTTCTATAATAACCATAGAAAAATTAGATATAAATTTAACAACAACAACTTCTAATAATCGAAGTAAATTTTAATTAATTCGATAGATACTGCGAATTTTTGTTATTTGTACAATGTCGAGAATCTAAAAATGAAATTCAAAATACTTCGAACTCTGAGCTGAGTTCAAATGCCATCTAGTCATAATTACTAATGAGTTTCAACTGGTTTTTTTATTCATCTATTATTATTAAGAAAACATAATAAGTTTCTCTTTTTGTCCTGAAAATTCATTAAAAGCATAAATATTGACAATAAAAAAAATCTAAATATTTCAATTTATATTTTGTTAAAATTGTCCATAATAACGAATATGTAATCGGCCACTAGCAAAAGCAACAATACCCATAGAAAATATAGTAAGTACATGACCAGTTTGAACAAGATTAACACTATAACTATTAAAAATGCTAACTTTCGAACCTTCTGCAAGTGCAGCAACCATAAAAAGTGTAGCAAGAAAGAGAAGTATTGGTGCAATTAACACTAATATACCTGTTAATTGAACGAAATTCATAGCCAATATAACTAACGTACCACAACCAAGTAAACAAATAGCAACGACTAATAAAGCTGCTGCATGTTGTGTACCTAAACCAAGATCAGTTTGTCGTTGCATGTCAATACATATTGATGTTCGATTGTTTTCATTGCCTTTACATTGTGTAAATAAATTATAATATTCTATATTACCATTTGAATCTTTATTATAGTACCAAGAACGTGTTGCTATGCCGACAATTAATAATGTTAAAGCAGCTATAGAAAAAAAAGTAGCAGTTATGATTAATATACGACTGAATGAATCTATTCGCGGCGAAGTTGATCGACTAGATACGATCGCCATATGATAATCTGTATGAAAAAAAACAACAATAAAATAATTTTACAAAAATAGAAATATCAAGTTACATATTATTCATTAGAATATATATACTCTGTAACTAATCATAAATCTTAAGAAGGAATTTTAATTTAACATCTACTTTTTTTTTGACTTATAAAACCTATCAAAAACATTTTTTAACGTATAAAATATGTCTGTCTATCACATACTTTTTCTTTTCACAAAGAATATACAATGAATTAAAAAGTACATTTACCTTTACTAGTAATATAATACTTTGCGTATAAAATCGATTGCAATTATAGTAAGTAAAAGAAAATGTTCTATTCGGATGTTTTATTCGATCTTGAATCATATATACATATATAGGACATTAACATTTTTTGACTAATCGATAGTATTATGGTCCAACAGAGAGGAAAAGAAAGAGAGAAAAAAAGCAGAAACGTATTTGACAAACGTATTCATTGAGTTCAGCGAGCATGAGTGGAAAAAAAATCTAAAGCGAAATCAACCAAAAAAAAAGTCAGAATGTAGCCAAAGGCGATAAGGTGCATTCCTCTTCATCCCATTAGCTTAAAAAATGTTCATTTGATCGTAGACATAATCGATTTCTCTATCGAAAATCACATAGATTATTGAAAGGGACAAAAAATCTCTGTAATCCTTTCATTCTTTTTCCTTCGCCACATTCTTGACATAAATGCGTATAAAAGGAAAATAAGAATTTTCACAATCTCTTGGCGTCACGTTTTTTGCTTTTTTTTTCCTTGTTAGTTTTCTTTCCTTTTTACTAGCGGTTCGGATCAATGATAACAAGAATACTTGTATTCATTATGTATGTCATGATGAAAGTTTGAAAATATATATCTTTTAATGATGTTGTCATGCATTATTATTGCTTAGATCGAATAAGAACATCAGAATGTTACATTATCATTATTTTATTACGCATTGGTGTTTTTTTTTCTTTACTGCAGGTCATAAAACATACCTATCATCATTTACGATAAAGTAAAAAATAATAAAGCCGGCAAGAGATGAAAAAACTGAGAGAATAATGATAAAATATAATGGTGTAAATAGGAGGAAGTGCATAAAATTAACACACATGTTCAGCAACCAATGAGACAGTTATAATAAACTCATAAAATTAATATGTAATAAAATAATAATTCTATCGCATGTCTACAGATTGGTAAATACAAGCAGAATGTACATAGTCTCGTCTATAATATATAATGCAAATCTAATGGTCTGATACATCTATTTCTAAATAATGATATTGTTTATATTCTTATAGAATATCTAAATTTGTTCTATTGCTCTGATTTATAGCATGATAACAAGTGTAGAAAAATTATATGTTTGTAAAGTTTTTCATTATATTAGAATATGTAATTAGTCTTGGTTTTTATTAAATTAATTTGGTCTGGAGTTAATGACAAGTTTATATTATTAGCATAAAAACATGGGGGATATCCTAACTTTGTCGATAAGACTTTCGCCAGTTGCCACAGAATACAATCCATATAGGGCACATGTATCACTTGAAGCTAGAGTTCAGTGGTTTCAAAAAACTAGAACCGAACCGGAACCGTGAAATCATCAGATAGACACAAAAATTCTTAAATCTATGTCGAGAAATCTCTGTTCTTGAGATTATATAGACTTCAGTATAGATGTATAATATTGTTTTGTTTAAATATTGAAATATCTGATGTCTTTAATCTTAGCAAGTCAATAGTAAAAATTTCTCAAAATATATTCAAAATTTTCATATCGATCCGATAATTTAATGATTTTGATTCTGTGTGATATTTTGCGAACCAAATCAGAAGTGCTTTTTTTTCTCATTTTTAGTAATCGGAGTCCAGGTTCTGCTTCCAGATAATTTCTGGAATCATCGAACTCTACTTGAAGGTACTGTTGTTAGAATATATATATATATATATCACTGTTCATACAGAGAATCCGTTTGAATATGACCGAGTCATGTTTTTAATAAGAACAAGTAAGATTAATAAGAAATAAAAAAAGATACATAATGCATAATTTAATCTTGATTTGGAAAGATTATTTCTCCTTTTTTGCTCTAACAAACAGATTCCTCAACAAAATGAACAAGAAATTTAATTGCATTAGTCAAAAATCTTTTATGGCTGCGATATAGACGAACATTACCTATCAATGTAATAGATAGAAGCTATTTCAAACCACATCTAATTTACATTCAAATTGGTCAATGTGAACGAATGGAATATATATAGGCAAAATTCATATTGACAAAATTTCGATTACCTGAAAAAAGCTTGTTTTAGGTTTCGTTATTTCTTGCTTAGTTATTCGTCTATCATGAGACATTAACCAACAATGATATGTTATCGACTTTTGATGCGTTCTTTACCTTAGTTAAGAAGTATTTTCATATCAGTGACAACCCGAAGCACTCCACGTTGGGGGGGAATATCTCGTTTTTTCTGAAAAGGAAGAATATTTTTCTTCTAACAGAATGCAAAAAAAAAATATTGTCGCTTCTACTGGAGAAAAAAAATTTTTTCACGTTTGGAAGACGAGTATTACATTTCCATTCAGGCTACCGCTGTTCAAGATTTATAGTTTATTCAGTATTATTTGCATTGAATTCATAACATAATTTTGTCTAAATTGAATGAAAAATTCAATTATAGATGAATAAGAAATGCAACTATTTTCAATGTCAAAATGAAAAACAATCTTTTTACACATCAAAAAGTAGTTTTCTTTTTTTTTAAATATTCGAGGAATTCTTTTACTTTATTCTAAATGTCTAAATTTTGATAAAAATTATTTATTCAATAAATAAATACGATTAATCTGATTTTATTTAAATTTGTCATTGAAAACCGTCTTACTTCGATCTTTAGTTTGAATATGTCATAGTATGTAACAATAAACTTCATCAAATTTCCAACTTTTCATTTTTCTTTTATTCATAATCAATTTTCATTATGAGGTTAAGACATATTTCTTCAAATCACTATTACATATTTCTATTCTTTACATGTCAATATCACTAAGAAAAACAAAATTCGATCAAATAAGAATAAAATTTGTCATCATAATCATTTTATTCAGTAATATTAATCGATTAAATTCAATTCTTTTAGATAGTACATATCAGAAGTCTCAATAGGCTGGACTGGGCCGAATAAAGCTGGACGATAGGTGATTTATCTAATTGTATTCGATAAATTTTAAACATATGAATGAACAAGCCATATTTCGAGTACGAGTAATTGATATATAAACAAATGTTCAATAAAATATTTGATAACTTGCAAAATTTTCAATTCTTTTAGATTCATCAGTAATAAGGATATGTTTGCTTTTTCATTTTTAATAACAACATATGTTGATGGTTGTTGTTTCAAAAGAAATTTGATCCATTCGGATGTAAACTATTTTGTATGTAATAATTGACCAGTACCGATAGTTGAAGGAAAAAGTATTAACAAAAATCGATCATTGAGAAAATTTAGTAGGAATGGAATTTGAATTAGAAAAAAACCAATTGTTGATGAACGAGAAGATACATTGTATTGAATATAAATAAAATTTTTATTAAGGTGACGACAATTTATCTTTTTCTTTGTTTTGTTTTAAATATTTGCTGTTCATCGCAAAAAAGTTTTAGTCAATTGAAGAATTACATGGGATTTTCGAAAAACAACTTCAGTGAACATACACAACACCATTTG